AACATATAATAATTCTAAACAATGAATCAACAACAATGCCAACAACATGAAACACTTAATAACATGTGTTTCCGACAACATGAAACACCTTATAACAAGTGTTTCCAAAAAATAATATTGCATTTGTGAATCCAACAATTTTGCATAAAAGTATACCAACAATTTATAAATATTCCAAGGACAAACAATTAAATTTTATGAATTTTGGTTTAAAATTAACATGTAATAAAATCTGAATAGCACATATTCACGAAATAAAACAAAAATTTGCTTGAATTGTATATTAGATAAATACCACATACAGAGTATTCGGGAATTCAAATCGAAAGATATATATACACAGTGAAACAATTGAAACCTTATATATATATATATATATATATATATATATATATATATATATATGGGGAAAATATTTCTGCAGTTAATGCAGATAAGTTATCTGTATTTATTTTCAAAACAACGTCGTTTTGGTATTGAAATCTTAAAAAATTATAAATATAAAGACTATTATAACCCTGAAATAAATTAAAATTACAAAAACATCATGATTTCTGCCCCAAAACAACGTCGTATTGGCTTACTGCAGAAAAAATGAACCCTATATATATATGGGGGGAAAGATCCGTTTACAATTTTTTTTGACAAATTTTTACAAATTACATTATCTTCTCCCGGAAGAACATAGTGAAACTAGTGTTCTCCCGGGAGAAAATAGTGTAGTTTGTAAACAAAAAAGTTTGTAAATATAACCTGTCCCTATATATAAAAAAGTTTGTAAATATAACCTGCCCCTATATATATATATATGTAGGATCCTTTGACACCAGTATCAAATTTGAAATTTGACACCTTGTCTGAGAGCTATTAGATAAAAAAAGATCTAACATATTTACAAATCAGAGTCGTTGATCTTTTTTATCTAATAGCTCTCAGATAAAATGTCAAACTTGATGTCAAAAGATCATATATATATATATATATATATATATATATATATATATATAGTATGGGAAAATATTTTCTCATGTTGCATGAGAATTGAATTCTCATGTTGCATGAGAATTGAATTCTCATGTTGTGACCCTTTGGTTTGCGTGCAATTTTTTTTTTTTAATAAATGTGGAGTCCACCACTAATTGAATTACAACATGAGAATTCAATTTTCATGTAACAATGAGAAAATCAAATTCCTTCACGTATATACCATAACCAATTCACGTAAATCAAACAATAGAATTTTCCATCACGTAAATCAAGACGACAATTTGTAAGCAAATATATGCAGTGCAACAATTTGACCGCCAATCGAGATGGAAATCGAGACGACAATTTGTAACAAATATTAATCATATACAGTGCAACAATTTGAACCGCAATTCACGAAAATATGTAACAATTGGTTGCAATTGTATATAATATTCAAACTGTGCAATACGGATCGAGACGTAACAGAGATAATTTATTCAACAACTCAGATAAAAAAATAAATCGCAATAAATTATGGATCTTATAATCATTCATGACTTGCTCTGATACCAAATGTAAGAAATTTTCATATAATAATTCAACACAAAGATCGAAACATGCACAATAGATAAAACACCATATACCCATTTCATTATGAGAAAAATTTGTGTACCTGATTAAACCATCTTATTTATTAAGCAAAAAACCTTGATTATACAGCTAGAATCTTTCTCTCTCTATGATCTATTCCAAAATAGCAATCTTTTGGGATGGGGGCATGAGAGCTCATGAGGCTTAACCCCAATATAAATAGGCTAGAGAGTAGACGTAGCAAAACTCTAATCAACAGTGTGTCTGATGGGTCCACCTAGGGGTGTAAATGGGCTGGGTTGGGCCAGGCTTTGGCCTTCATGGCCCAAGCCTACGTAAAAAAAAATTCAGCCTATCTGGCCTATTAAAGGCTTTATTTGTAGGCCAAGCCTGACTCATTTTTAAAAATAAGAAAGCCTGATATGGCCTACAGGCCTTGTTGCCTCCCACTGTAGATACTAAGCGAAAAAAATAATTGTATAGAGCAAAGAAAGTTCAATTCATGCATGCACTAGTACTTCTCATAAGAAAAAAATGACAAACAAGAAAGAGTCAACATAATACCCCAGCTCTAGAATGTATATCATAAAGGAATATAGTCAAAGAAATGGGAAAAATAAGAAAAACACAATTACTGGATGCTGAAATAAAGTCTACAAGAGAATATCATTCATCTAAAATTCTTTAAACCACCATAATCCAGCAAGGTACCCATTGCTCCATGGTATTAAGCTGCAACAACATGTAAAATTTGGAGACATTAGACAAGTTTTCCTTTCATAAAATAAAATAGCACAAAAAGTAAGAGATATTGGTATTTGGTACTTTGCGTCTTTGCCACATAAAATAAATATTATTTTATTATTTTATTTTAATAAATTAAATAGGCCAGCCTATAAGGCTGTAGGCCGGGCTTGACAAAATTGGCCTATAGCTTATTTGTTAAAAAAACTTTTTTATAAGCCTAAGCCTACTCTACTTTTCTGAAAGGCCGGGCCTGAGCTGTGCTCAATGTAGGCCGGGCTGGGCCAGCCTGACCCATTTACACCCCTAGGTCCACCTATCACAGAAGCCCAATCAAATACTAATGCATACACAGTGTTGCCCAACTAGGCCCAATACCAAATGATGTCAAAAACTCAACTCAACTTGATCACAATGAGCTTATCACAATAGATTAAATTAGAATATCCATTAACCCGATTATTTTGAAAAATACAAAAATATTAATTAATATTGCCTACATATAAAATTTCTAACATTTTAATCATATATGCATAGTTCTGATATTAAATGAAGAAGATAATTTTTAACACATTGGTCAAACCCAAGAGTAGGAACGAGAAAATGCTAATACATGGAGGACTAGTATAGCTTTAGATATCTGGAGAGCTGTTGCTTAGTAATTTTGAATGTTTGTTAAAAATTATATTATGTTTTACTGATTGAGAAAATTATATTAGGTTTTATTTTTTTTATTAATATCATTGTATTTCTTTGTTATTTTTTTATTGACTATTGTAAATTTGAATGTTTGTTAAAAAATAAAAATTCATCTGATTTTACTAAACGGATCTTGTTTATATCAAAAAATTTGACACACATAAGTATTTTTCTGTTCTTGTTGAAATTATCCATAATTATATCAAATTCATGCTAACACAAACATGACATATCAATTCAAATCGCCGCCACTAATTCTACTGGGCTATTTCACCTATTGTGAACATTATCACACCTTGTACTTTATTGAACTTGTGACTCTCCCTTCAAATTTCCCACAAGTCACTATCGCTCTTCCCTTATCTGTCGTTGCCCCCACACCACCTTTGATTTTGGTAGGTTAAGGTTGTTTCCTATGTTCCCACATGTTCTGTTCTCCAAAATCTACTTTTTTTATTTTTATTTTGGGTTTGATATTGTTATATAACCACAAGAATTTCTGGGTATGTTTTGTGACATCAGCTCATTATAGATTTCTGTTGAATTTTGCATGAGAAATAGGGTTCATTGACTAATGACTATAAAGCATTTATTGTGGCTATCTCTTCTCATATCATTAAGGTTTATTATACATGCATAAAAATATGTAAGATTTATATTTTCTTTTTTTTCTCTTCTTTTTACATGATCCCACATGAATCTTACATACTTTAATATGTATATAGGTGATAAAATTATTTTAAAATAAAATTATCTCTTATAATACGACAAACATCATACCCTTATTATTATTTCACTCGCTAATATCTTAGGTTTTATGGGATGAGTTTAAGACAACAAAATATAAAGAGAAAAACTTTTAAGTCCAAACAACATTCTAGCATGAGGAATGTTAAGAGATAATGCTTTACACATAAACACCTTTTTTTTTCAGCTTAAAAATGGTACGCACATGTAGAAATAACTTCAACTTATTCATAAAACACTCCGTGGCTTAAAAATAGTACATACATATCAAGTTTTCAATGATACTCCCTTCTCTAGAAATACACTCATGACAACTTTATTCATAGGACATAGCTTAATAAAAACAAGGCAAACCCCCCCGCCTGTTAAAGTATACGTACAGGTCAAATTTATTTATGAAGCACCCTTCTAGTAACTTAAAAACAATACATGTCTCACAAGACAACTTTATTCATAAAACACCTTTATGGAACTTCAAACAGCACACACTTCCTGCAGGTATACAGGTAAACTTTATTCATGAACACCACACTTCGAAAGAAAAGAAAAGCCATCAATTTGTCTGAGAGTTGTTGTCATGTTGTTATCCGCTTATCATCTGATTGCATCCTTCAAATACCACTGAAGCTTAAGAAACAAATTTAAAAGAGCAATTACATTAGATATCTAGTTGCTGAAAATTAAAAACAGTTTCAAACATTAAAAAATAAGCCAAGTCTATTCATGGATGCCAGGATTGGCACCCAAACTTTGATAGGTAAAGAATTCACAATTTATAAAGCATGAGAAAATGTGAGTATATCAAATTTAGGTGTTTTTTTATGATTTCTAAGCAAGCCTAAGTTTATGCATGCCAAATCAAATTGAATCCATGTTCAGGTCCATGTTTTCATGAGATGGAAAAAATATATGTAGAAAAAAAAAAAAAAAACTCACCAATATTCCATGTTTTCTGCATTGTTGCTGCTTGAAAAACAAGACAACTAGTTTTCAACGTTAGCATAAGTGAAAGCAATGACAATAAGCTTCTCTCAGCATACAACAATTTCCTGAAGCAAAGTATTAACAAAAGAGAGGTAATTAGATAAGATAAAAAATAATTTAGGTAGAACATATATTCATATAGCTTTCCGTAGTCTTCATGGCAAAGATTGAAAGATATGTTTGAAAATAGAGGCAATACAATTTTTCTGGTGTGTTTATCTGCCAATTAATTCACTGCACAACACTGAATTGATGCAACTTGAGCAGGCTGAGACCAAGTTAGTTAATTAACATATATTGCATGTATATGAGAATAGCTAATTATATATGTACTTACATACAAATCATGGGAACCTGTGATTATATTAACTCAGGCAGCCCTCCTCCCTAATGAAGAAATCATTAAAAATAGAGTATCAAAGACTGTTGTTATAAAAATTAATAAAATTGCAGAATCATAAAAGTAGCATACAAATATTGTTATCCAAAGCCATAGTGTCGATCACAAGAGACATTTGGATAATGTTAGTTTAAGACATGAAATTCACGCAGAAGTTGAAATTGTAATCAATTGATTAGGATGTAAGTCCTTACCTGTTGTAGAAACACCCTTTTTACTGAGCCATTAAGATCATCATGGAAGACCAATTCGTCACTTGAGTCAGACGAAACTTGAATTCCTCTAAAGTATTCAGAATGTGTCAATTCCTCTGGAGAGAAAATTTTCATCTTGGGACACTGCCATATGTTGATTTGTAGCAGAGAGGGTAATTGCAAAGTGCTATTGCCTGAATAAAAACATTCAAGGCTTGGTAAATCATGTAGAACTATCCTCTCCAGCCACTCAAATTTGATCTCTTCTTGGGATGGTGGATGTGTTGGCCTCTCTTGCTGTTCTTTTTCGTTGGGGTCCTTTGGAAGTTTTCCTTTTCTAATCCTTTCTGCATCAAGGCGTGCCTGTTCCTTCTCTTCCTCTTCTTTCTTTTTCTTCTCCTCTTCCTCTAGTCTTTGCTTTTCTCCTCCTTCTTGTTGGATTTCTGGGTGGTTTTCTTCTGAAGCACCTGCTTGATTTTCTTCGGGTGCTTCTTCTTCTTGTTGCTCCGGTGCTTCCTGTTCTTGTTGCTGTTGCTGTTGTTGATGAGATGGTTGATCCGGAGTTGGTTGTTCCTGTTCAAACTGTTGGGGTTCATGGTCTTCTTCCTCCTCTTCGTCTCCCTCTGACACTTTTCCCACTATTTCTATCAGTGATTCACATTCCTTGACTGTGATCTCCTCAAGGTACCTGAACTCTTTTGCTGCTGAGTATGGGAACAAATACTTCAATGCAGAACATCCCACAACATTCAGTTTTTTTATAGAGGAGAAAGATACTGCAGAATCTACTAATGTTATCAAACCAGGACATTTGAAAACATTTAATTGGTGAAGCTGCTCACAGAGTTTGTTCAACCATGATGAGTCATCTAACTCGATGGACTTAATCTCATCTATTGTGTCCAGTGACAATATTTTCAAATGTTCTAGCATCCAGTCTTCACCAATTTCAGGGTTTTGAGTGCGGAATATCTTGGGGCCACTGCAATTGCTTATAATCATTGTTTCTAAATTTGGTGCCTTCTTAAGTACTTCAAAGGGAAAAATAGACTTCTCATTTCCATAGCCATCAGAGATCAACACATTTCCTAACCTTAACACCAAAGTGTGTTCCCAATCCAACTTCTGTTTCTCCAAGTTGGAAATAGCCTAGTAAAGGCAAAACAAATGGAAAAAGAAAGTGTTGTGAATTAGAAGAAGAAAAGAAAAGCATGAAGATAAAGTTAAGAGTGGAGATTCTATGTTACTTACATGCAGATTCTGGGAACTTTGAAATAGCTCCAACTTACGACAACCTGTCAAAGATAAATTATTTAAAGCCGGGCATTCCAGAGTGTATGTTTCAGGGTAAAAGTGAGTGAGCTCTGGCAAATCAAGAAGATCCAGCGAGGTTAATTGAGGGAACACAAACTTGTTTTCTGATACTTCTTCTTCATCTTCAACAATTTCTTGCAAATCACGACAAGATTGTGTTTCAAGTTTCTTGGAAAACAGAGTTTTCAGATTGCCACACTGACTAACAAAGACTTGTTGCAGATTTGGAAATCTGAGGATTCCTTGACCATAGTTTTGCCAAACATGTGTCAGCTCTGAGAGCTCTTGTAAATTCAATATCTTCAATTGGGTTGCTGTTGGCATATTCTCAGAGTTATTCATATCAAAGATTGCCTTCACTTTGTGACATTTCCGCACTTCCAATTCTCTTAAGCTTTTTACGTAAGGAAGATGAGATGGAATTGCATATGACTGAATTTCACAGTTGATCAGCTTCAAAGTTTTCAAACTGTAAAACCAATTGTTTTGCAGACCAACTCCATCATGCCAGGCTTGTTGTAGCTCAAGATGTTCTGAAAGATTAATCTCGTCCATCCCTTCCAAAAACCTCTGTGAATATTGTAAATAAGTTTATCATCACATATATCATTTACCTATCATTCCATTTATTTTTTTACCATCAATCTTAGCAAAGGCTTATTTAATTTATTTCATTTAAATAGGTGATTAAAGAGAATAGAAAAAGAAAAATTCATACGTACGTACCATTTCTTTGACCATTGATTGAATGGTATCTTTTAAATTACAATGCCAGTACCATTTCTTCTCTTGTTCATGTACAACATATATTTTTTGTAAACTTGGCGTGCAATTGGCTTCTTCAGAGAAATTTTCCATTTTGGGGCATGCACTCACTACTACCTTCTCCAATGCCGGAAACTCAAAGATGCAGCTATTGGAGCTGGAAAAACTTTCAAGGCTCTTGAGTGACACAAGTTCTAGAGCTTTCAATTGTCTGAAAACAATGTCAACTTGGCCTGCATTTTCTTCTTCATTTCCTTGCTCTAATACAATTTCCTTCAGGGATTTACATTTCATTACCTTCAAGGTGGTGAGTTGAATCAAGCTTTTTGCAGTCGATGGTTCCATTAAATACTTTAATCCATTACAATCAACCACCTCCAGAATTGTCAAGTGAGTGAGAGATACCGAGGAAGGCCCCATAGTGACCAAAGAAGGACAACTTTCTAAAATCAAGGACTCTATCCTTTGAAGAACTATATCCCGCTCAAAGCCTATCTCCACAAGCCTGGGTAAGTCAGTTAAGTTCAATGTTTCTAGCTTTAAAACAACCCCGAAGTTGTTTTGAATTTCAGGAGGCCTTTTGATTGGCACTATCTCCTTAAAGTAGCAATCACTCAATACTAGGTCTTTGAGATTAGGATTGCAGTGAAGAAAAGAATACAGAACCTCAGTATTCATTAATTTACACAGGAAAAGCTCTTCTAAGTTTTTCTTTTGATAGTTCCCTTTCTCCATATAGCTGCTTGACGACTTTGCATGTTGCGACTCAATTTCTATGAACTTCAACTGATTGATCACCTATAAGAAATACACAACGAAAAATATATTAAATATATGAAAATGCATTGAGATTTTTTCCCCTTCTATTATGATTTTTACTCTATTTTTCTATAATTTGGAAAGGATTCTTAAGAGTTGAAAGGCTTACCCGTACTTCTTCTTCTTCTTTAGGAAAGAGGACTCCCTTGCTTTGTGCATCTGTAGTTTCTTTTCTGAATGGTTCTAGCTTGTCACAAAGTCGAACACACAGTTCGTTCAGTACAGGACAACTTAAGTCATGATCTTCTGGATAGAAACTCTTGAGATTTGGTAGTTTCCACAAGTCGATGGTGGTTAGTTTAGGAAACTTAAGTTGAGCATACTCTTTGTTTACCTCGGCAACAATTTCTCTCAATTCAAAGCATTTCCATACCGCAAGGTATTCAAGATTGTCAAGTCTCTTGGCTTTAGAAACTGGAAATATATAGTCTAAGCTGTGACATTCACGAACAAATATCTTTCGCAACTCTTCAGAGATATCTATCAATCTTTGGCCTTCTTTCCATCCCCATATATGCTTCAATTTCGGGAGCGTTTCTAAATGAACATCTTGCAAGTTGGTTACATCTCGAGCACCTCCATTAAATATCTCCTTCATTAACCTGCAATTAGTAACCCTCAAGTTGCATAGACTCCGGAATATATTTCTCTTCACATTAAATGGAAAAACTTCTTCTAATTTATCACACTGCTCAAGGATTAGAGTATCGAGTTTTCCAAAGGAATCTTTAGGGAGTTCATCATTCCATATCTCAGTCAAACTTCTCATGCCACTCAATTTGAAATTCTTCAAACTTGGAAAGATGTTACCCTGCTTTGGTTCATAATTGCTATAAGTTAATCCAATTAACAATGATGTCAAATGTAAAATAAGTCAAATCAATAAAGAGAAAGAACAAGGTAATTTGATTGTAAAGGTTTTAAATTATGATATTGTTGTATTACTATTATAGCTAATGTGAAAAAAATATGGACAAATGTGATCTTTACAAATAATAACACAAATAAAATCAGTCCTAGTAATTCTCGAAATCACAATATAGGGGCTGCAAATTGCATTTGAAATTTTAATTATAGGAGAGATTGATGGTACGCTATGTTAAAGGACTAAGATTTGAAATTTTAATCTATATTTAATATGCTGATGTAGTATTTGAACAGGAAATATAGGTTGCTTCATATTTTTGCATATCTTATGTTTAATTTTGAATAAGTTTTCAACATCATAGGACTCAAAATAGAGATTTCAAATTCTCTAACATGCAAGATATGGAGATAATAATTCCACATTAAAATTAACGCATAAAAAGAGATATAAAAATAGAATCTAATCCCACCACCCTACGTACCTCCATTTTAGCATGGGAAGCTTGACCTTGGTGAAAGATGTGTCTCATCTTCTCACACTCACTGACGAAAAGGCTTTGAAGATTTACCAGAATCTTTGCCATTGCAAATGATACCAAATATTCTAAATCCCAACAACCATTCACATCCAAGTGTATCAAATTTTTAAAATAGGAAATTGTTGAAGGATGTTCACTTCATATTATTTTCATTGGGATCGAGGACAACTTTATTCTCTTTAATTTGGGGAACACAACCTGCAAAGTCACATGAAAAATAAGTGTCTCCAAAAATCAAAAGAATTAATTATGACTTTCTCAAGTTAGTTCTTGACAAAGAAGAGAATTTATTTTTCTAAGTTTACCAACTTATAAACTCCTTCCTTTTTAGTTTTAACAAATAAAATACGAAACATGGTTTGAAATCCAAAAGATAAATAAATCTATATGACAATTTTAAACTCACCTCTTTGTTGAATAATTCTTTGGTCTTTCCTTCTATTGATGAAAATCCAATACATTTTGGTAGAGATTGTAGCGTCAAAGAACGTAATTCAGGAAACACAAAATGCTCCAAGCGGAGTTCTTCTACCACAAGGACAATCTCCTTCAAAGAGTCACATTCAGAAACTTCAATAGTTTCAAGTACGGTTAGAAGTCTAGCCACAGAAAGTAAGAATACATTCTTCAATTTATTGCAGAGATTGATCTTGATGACTTTCAATTTACCAAATGAGGATTCTGAAAGTTTACATGAGCATACTTCACCCATCTTCTTGAGATTATATAGAAATAATGACTCCAATTCACGAAAAGCCATCTCATAATGTTGCCTGTCTTTTGGGTTGGTGAGAGATTGAATGTCAAAATTACTTACAATAGACAAATGTTTCAGAAATGGAGATACTTTCAAATTCAATCTATAAATAATATCTTGGACACCACTGATATCCTCCAACAACAAATTCTCAACTCCGACACACAACATTTGGATACCCATTTGAGAATGAATGTCGAAGCCTTCTTTTAGCTGTATTGCCAAAAATCTTGATCTTTCATACTTCTCTGGCATCTTGAAATCTGTCTCTAAATATTCATTCAAATCTCCAATGACAATCTTGTAACTATTTAACTTGTCAAGGAACAAGTTGTTCGACAAATGGGCAACATTTGGGATTTGAATGTCTAAAGCTGTCAACTGATTTAGATGCCTCAACTCAGAAAGACTAGCATTCTTACTTTGATTTGTCTGTCCTTCAATGTTCCATTGAATCAAGGTGTTTCTCGTATACAACTCTTCCAAACTAATCAAATTGTTTATCACATTGGATGGAAAATATTGAAGTTTGGAGCAATTACTTATGTCAAAAATTTGTAGTTTTGTTAACTTCATCAATTCAACAGGCAATTTTTTAATATCAGATCCTGAAAGACTAAGAATTCTTAACCTTTCCAATTTGCCTATGATGGATAAGTCCTCACCTAGTATGCATTGCTCTAAGCAAAGCATTCTGAGTTGTGTTAGGCAAGTGATTGATGAAGGTAAGGGTGATAGATGAAAGCCAGTCAATATCAACACTGTAAGTTCTTTCATTCCTTCAAATAAGTTTTCTGGTATTTTCAGATGGGGATCACTATTATTAACATGGAAGACTCTCAATCTCGGGCATTTTATAATACTAGGAAAGCCTTCAATGATATCACAATGTTGTAAGGAAATAGCAACATACCTTTCAAGTTTATCCTCATTAGGCCATTTATCTACCTTTCCCATTGTCATTGTAAATACATGCTTCTCCTCCTCGGATGCTATTGACAAAGCAGCACTGCGAACAATATCATTCATAGTGAAATGATCATTTGAAAAACTGTCAGACAACAAATTAGACTCTTTTAGCTTTTCAACCAACTCAGATACTTTATCTCTAGCTTCCCTTACAGTGCAGATTCCTTCAAGAAAACCCAGACCAATGCAGTATTTCACCAAGTCTTTAATTAATGCATCATGACCCATGTAAGCACACAGTAAGAAAGTATACTTAAGCTCCTTGTTTTCTAAAAGTTCATAACTCAACTTTGTAGAAAACTCACACCCTCCTCCTATGAACTTTTGCCATTCAAGCTTTTGGTTCACACCTTCCCAAACTGAGCGGGTCTGATTTTTTAATGCCATTGCAGTTTTAACTACTGACATGGGCAACCCTTTACACTTGCTGGCAATTTGAGCAACTAATCTTTCAAATTCAGGATCTGTATCCCCTATTGTAGCAATTTTCTTGAACAACATTTCTGCTTCCTCATCTGTTAAGACTTCCAGACTTAATAACGCTTGTTGGGTTTTAGAAATCAGCATAACTTTGCACCCCGTGACACGATTTCCTGTTATTCTCCAAGATTCGAAATTGCTATCGTATTTCCCATCTTTGATGAAGTTTGGACCATCATATTCAAATGGAATCCAAATTTGCCCAATGATCATCTAGGATTACAAGCGTGCTCCCATTCTTGTTCTTTAATCTCATTCGTATTTGATCAGCTCTTGCAATGTCACTTTCATCATCCAGTAGTGTCATCCCCAGCATGTCAGCAATTTGTCCTTGAATTTTCCTCATGTCAGGATTTCTGGTTACGTTTACAGTGATCACTACTACATCGAATAACACCTTAGCTTCCAACATCTCCTTCACAAGTTTTTGGACTATACTGGTCTTGCCTACACCACTCAACCCATGAAGGCCAATTGTTCTAACAGTTTGGTCTTCAAATGCTAACGCAATCCTCTCAATAGTATCTTGTCTTGATGGAAAATGAATAATCAATGGCCCGACCCAATAAGAAAGCGGTTCTTGACTTGTCCTTTGCAGTAGTTTATAAATTTGTTTTGCAATATAAGATGCTTTTCTGCTTCGACGATATCTTATCCCCCATCTAGGAAGGTGACGACTTGTAAACAAGTCAAACACTGCATGTCTATGGCATTCGTCCAAATCGAAACTTTCATATTCATTAATTATTTTACCCGCCTCATATAACCAATCTTTAACTTCATCTTGAGCTATTTTTCCAAACTGGGATAATTCCGTATCAACTTTAGACTCAACTGCATCTCTTAATTTCTTCCTTCAGAATCCTAGCATCAACATTTAGTTGCGGAACTTTAAACTCGAGCGCGTTTAACTCGAACAGTAGGTGGTGTAGCTCCTCCTTTAGGCATCCTTGTACTTCAGGTGACTTCAGCAATTCCAAACCCAAAATAGTTAGAGGCTTCACCCAGTCCATCAATTACATCTTCAGCATGTACCTAAACAACAAGACACCATTACTCATGACAAATACGAAAATAACTACGAATAAATGAATTGAAATAAATAGACGAAAGGAGCTTGCCAGTCCATAGTATATTTGTATCAAAAATATAAAACAATAACAAGAAAACGAATATATATCTATGTACATGCGTGTGCATTAACAATATTCTTACATTATTAAATAACTTCTGGTCGAGATGAATCAATGACAGATTTTTAATATTTTCAGAGTAAATATGATTTTTGGTACACACAAATTTTAGATATCCCCTTTAGTTCCTAACAAATAAAAAGACTATTCGTGGTCCCTAAAAAAATTCAAAATAAACCCATTTAGTTGAGATCGTGGTCCTCACTAAAGCGAGTATCGTGCTGACTAACGAAAAGGGTATTTACTCATATTTTTATACTATTTTTTGATAGTTATTTTACTTATTCGTTCATTCATTGTATTTTGTAGGAAAAAAAATATTATATAACATTTTTATCATTTGTTTCGTGAATTATTTTGAATAAAAGATCATTCAAAGTAAATGGCCAGACGTTGAAATACTACTATTGGGGAGGCCAAGAGAACAAGGAGAAATTTTTTTATCTCCTTGAAATGTCCTTTGGGCTGAAAGCCACCAAAGATGAGGAGATTTTGAAATAGGTTCTTGAGGACTTATGCATTAAAGAGATAACATGGACTAAATTGTCCTAAAAAAATCTATCTTTTCTAAGGTCACCTGGGTGTCCAAGAATGTTGTTACAATATCATCAACAATAGCTAAAGCAGGAGGATAAATTTGGCAGAGGATTGAAACGAGTCTAGAGCGAATGGAGAAGGAACAGAAGGAAACAAGGAAGCTTACGGAGAAATTAAATAAGATGGACAAGTTTGTGATTTGCCAATTTGGTTTCCTCGCTCCAACCAATCAAGGCCTTGATGATGATGCAAAGGGGAAAGAAAAACCAAAAGAAGAAGAAGATGAGTAGAGTGAGTTGACTGAGGGGACCGAAGAAGAGGAGGAATCAAATGGTTTTCTATTTTAAAGGCTATCGAAGATTAATCTTTAGTTCTGTCTCAACTTGGAACTGGAACTAGTAGTAAATTAGTTGTAAATTGGTAAATCGATTAGAATATTTTTTATTTTTATTTTTATGATAATTAGGCCGTATTGTTTTATGTTTTTGTTTTATACCTACCCAAAGAGGAAAGAAAAATAATGAAAAGGATTGGTAAGGAATTCATGTGCTAAGTTAGATTTATTTATGCTTTATTTATATTTTTGTTTTCTGTTTTCTATTTTGATTTTTTTTTTGTTTTAATAAAAACTTAGGCTAATCCATGCATAAAGGTACTCATAAAAAAGGGGAAAATAATTAACTGATCCAGGTCCACTTAATTATTTGGTGGTTCCTCTTACATGAGTGATTCTTTTTTTTTTTTCATTTTTGTCCCTCCTATTTTTTTCTTTTCCCATTTTGCCCCCTGTTTTGAGAGAAGGAGCAGCCAAAATTTTATGGGCCAGGAGCACTACATTTTCTCTCTAAAAAAGGAACTGCTAACTCTCTAAGTCAGGGTTAATTTTTGAGCCTAATTAAGTGGAAATATAGCCTAAACTAACAATAAAATACCTCAAAGCATGATTGATATTATGTGATATAACTTGGTATATTGTTTTAGAGAAAAATATTTCTTGCAGTTAATGCAGATAAGTTATCTACATTTACTCCCAAAACGACGTCGTTTTGAGACTGAAAGATTAAAAAATTATAATTATAAAGACTATAATAACCCTAAAATAAATTAAAATTACAAAAACACCGTGATTTTCGCCCCAAAATGACATCGTATTGGGCTTACTGCAAATAACTTATCTGCAATGACTCCAAGAAAAAGCAAACCCATTGTTTTAAGTGTTTTGAGATGTTTAAGTATTAATTAGATGATTATGACTAATATATTATGGTTTGAACGATTTGTTGAGTTGTTGTTTTGCAAGATTATGCCATAGCAAGGTCGCAATAGAGCTTGAGCGATGTCGTAGCATAAGCGACTTATGTGAAACAGTACGCAACGAGGATTAACAACCTAAAGATAAAGATAAGGCTGGAATTCAAATTCAAATAATGCAAGATCAAAGGATAAATGTTCTTAACCACATTTTGTTTTAGAGGAAAAATAGCTCGTTCAACTCTAGAATTCATAAGCACTTATCAAGAGAACTTCTAGAAGTTATTCAAGTACAAGACAAGGAGAGAAAAGTTGCAAAAAGTAGAGGATAGGGTTGTAGATATGAAATTCAAATTTAAACTCCACAAGTGATAATTCATACTTTGAGTTAAAGTTAAGCAATGCCTACATAGAACACGCAAGCCCACTTTAGAGAGGAGAATATTGACGAGACATGATACATGCAAGGAGCGCATGAAGAGCGCGAGGAAGACAAAGGAAGCCTGCTGGGAAGTCGGAGAAGAATAGCCCAATAGTATAGTATGAAGGAAGCATCATGTTTTGCTGTAGCAGGGCATAAGCATAATTGGCGCACGACTAATGCAAAGGAGCATTGTTTTATAGTTATACTAGTGTTTTCTTTATGAGTTCTTGTTTTTTTATGTCTATCATGAGCTAAACATATTATAGGTTAGATGATAGAGTAACCATGTTGTGACTAAGTTTTGATGCCTAAACTATGTTGTGTCATTGTTCCTTTCAGTTGCTTAATAAGTACACTTTTATTTCATATTATATGCTTGTTGAGAAGCATATGCATGATGCATGGGGGGCTAATGCTAGGAAGTATTCGAACCCTGACTCTTATTAGACAAAGTGGATTGATTAGGATTATAAACTTAGTCAAGTTGGGAATATATGGACGATTCTCACCACTTAACCTAAAAAATTTATTCTTTAATGAATCTTAAGGTTAATTTTGCATAGGGATATGAGAATTAGGCTTAGGGTTATATATATAAGTTGGCGAAAGTCCCTATAAAAAAAAATGTTTGGTTACTGTTTGACACATTGCTATAGTATGGTGACAACCATCATAACAAGATTGCAGTAACAAGGAAATTGATCGTAACTTATCTCTTAATTGAATTCTCTCATCTCTTTTGAACCTTTGCTTTATAATTTTAGTACATTTAGTTAGTCATAGCTAGTTTTAATTATTACTTTTATTTATAAGTCTAAAAATCCAATTATTACTCTCCTCTATCACTTTACTTGGTCAAGCTTTATAACTTTTTTTCGTGAGAACGATACATGGACTTATAATCCTATGTTACTTGTTGACAACATGCACTTGTATTATAATTGTGATTTAATATTTGCACAATAATTCAATACTGATGTTGAGTTAATATGCTAAGTTTTGGATAACATAGTCTGTCATTGCTAGAGTAATGCCTCAGTCTTCACTATTCCATAATAATATGTATTGCTATAGGATTGCTGCATCAATTGCCTAACAGTGAGAGTTAGTGATCTTAAACCAAAATCTAACTAAAGATGGAAGTCTAGCTTGATGCTAAATTGATCAAGGCGAAATCCTACTAGAGAGGTAAAAAACATCAAGCACAAGGGGATGACTCAAAGGCAAGAGAAAGAAAGGAGCATATGGCAGAGAAGGCTAAGGATTCTGAGGCTCCAAAACTTCGAAATCCAACAACACATGATAAAGAAAAAATAAAATAAAAATAGTGATATAGCAAAGCTATATCAAAGGTGCCCCATAAAAGAAAAATAAAAATAAAATGCTAAAGTTAAGAAGAATAAAAGTTTAAATCATTGCAAAGGCACAAGACAAAAAAGTCAACAAAAAGAAAAAGGGAACCAAAGTAAATGAAAAAGAAAAGAAAAATTAAGTTGTTGGATCCAAGTCAAAGAGTTGTGGAATCATGCAAATATGCCTAAGGACTCTGATTTTGAAGCTCCAAGGTGGATCAAGCGAAAGAGAAGTTCCTTCCGCACATAGATTGATCGATCGAGGGGTAAAGAAACCTCGAGAATATGAAGCCAACAAGGAGTGCTAAAGTTTAAGTAAAGAGAATTGTTGAAGACCAACGATCACATGCAACTGTGTGGAAGTAATATTGCAATAGTATAGAGAATTTCAGTAATAGTCATGGCTGTAGCTTTGTTAGTCAACTGATGTAGGCTAATGCGAAAGAAAATTTAGTTTCTTGATAAAAAAAAGTAACATTTTGAGTTTGGAGTTGTTAACTCACCGAAATAGTTAATTTTGGGCTTAAAATTGATGATTTGATGCCTAATATGCTATGTAATTATTTCATAAGCATGATATAGTTGCATGATTCTTATTTTTATGTGTTTTGAATGCTCAATGTGTTGAGATTAGTATTTGAGTCAATTTTGATGCTAGAGCACTTAATTGGCTATGAAGTTTCTGATGTAGGTCAATGTCATAGCATTGCTATAACACTAGAGCGATTAATGAAATGTTACATTTTGATGTTGCACTAGAACAAATACTAGGATAAGCAATCAGATTTCAAATTCAAATAGAAGATAAGATGCAACAACATGAGATAAAAGATAAGAAGGTTGAAGATATGAAGAGATAAATAACTATCTAAACAAATCCTTATCTCGAGCAATCAGGATCATAAATTCATGCTTAGAGATAAATCAAGATCAGAATTGAAGGTTGTTCTAGAAGGAAATAAGTACTTGGTGCCCAAGTCAGCCATCTTTATAAATAAAGAAATAAACGCACGCTCTAATTCATTGAGGAATCAGTCAATCGATCACGGTTGAGAGGAATACAACGGATCAAGGGAAATTTTGAGTCTAATAGAGGGATCATTGGATCCGTTAGACCCAAACACTGTACTAGGAGCTCAAATACGATGGAGAGTGGTCGCACGTAGTTGTTATGGCAACAATGTTGTAGCATCTCTTTTGTCTATATTTGTGTTTCCACGAATCTTTCTTCTTTCTTTTTTGTTTTTTTCTTTCAA